TCCCCGGCGTGTTATCCTATGTGTCCATCCCCGGCATGTTATCCTGTGTGTCCCTCCCCGGCATGTTATCCTATGTGTCCCTCCCCGGCATGTTATCCTATGTGTCCATGCACACATAGACTTTAATCAGTGTTTTTTGGCAGGATCATTTTTTGGCTGGAAAAAAACCCAGGACTAGTGGGTTTCTAGAGGAGTTTTTTAGCTGGAAAAATGCTCTAATGTTGGTAAACGTGGCAAGCCAGCATTTTTAAGCTTTTTTTTAAGCCAAGATTTTTTTGTAAAAAATGCTAATACAATGCTAACTTGGAAAAACGGCTAATCGCAGCAAAATGGGGCTAAAGACTAACGCAAAAACACATTCAACATGACTTTATTTAATTATTTATTACAGGTACTTATATAGAGCCATCAATTTACACAGTGCTTTACATATATATATAATGTACATTCACATCAGTCCCTAACCCTCAAGGGGTGTACAATCTAAGGTCCCTAACTTACATTCATACATACACATACTAGGGACAATTTAGTTAGGAGCCAATTCAACTAGCAGCATGTCTTTGGCATGTGGAAGGAAACCAGAGTACCTGAAGGAAACCCACGCAGGCACAGGGAGAACATGCAAACTCAAGGCAGGTGGTGCTGTGGTTGGGATTTGAACCAACGACCCCAGTACTGGCAGGCGAAAGTGCTAACCATTTAGCCACTGTGCTGCCCACTTTATACAGCTAATGTTACCAGTGTTTTTTAAAACATCCAGTATGCATGGGGCCTTATTGTTGGAGGAACCTAATTTTAGTAATGTTAAAGTCATGCTGGTAGGTTAATTGACTCCTGTCTAAATTCTCCGTAGTATGTGCAGATGTTTAATCTAAGGCTGGTCATACCTTATACAATTTTCTTGAGATTTTTGGTTTAGATTTACCAAAAACCATATAATAGGAGGTCAAAACTAACAACACTTTCAATTGTATCCAATTAGGCAGGCTCTTATACTACATAGTTGAAGGTAAATCTAAAGTAAATTGGACAGAAATTTGTATAGTGTATGGCCAGCCTAAGGTAGGGTTATTAGGCTATAAGGTCTTTGAGGGCAGAGCCTTCTGCCCAGCAGCATTAGGATCACTGGTTTGAATCCCAACCATGACAATACCTGCCTGGAGTTCGCATGGGTTTCCTCCCACTCTACAAAGACACGCTGGTAGGTTAATTGGCTCCTGTCTAAATTGGCCCTAGTGTATGAATGGGAATTAGGGACCTTAGATTGTAAGCCCTTTGAGGGTGGGAACTCATGTGAATTGAACACCCTGCGATTTTGCAAGTTCTCCCACTTAGAAATCATGGAGAGGTCTGAAATTCACATTGTAGGTGCATTCCCACTCTGAGAGACAGAATTTAAAAAAAAAATGTAAACACCTAAGAAACAGCAAGAATTCTGGCTCTCAAAGACCTGTTACTGCGCCTTTAAAAAGTTCACCTCTACTCCATTCATTAATCTAACTTAGTAGCACCTGTCTGAGCTCTTTAAAGACACCTGTCCACCCCACAGTCAGTCAGACGCCAACTACTACCATGGGCAAGACTAAAGAGCTGTCAACAGACACCAGAGACAAAATTGTGGACCTCCACAAGGCTGGAAAGGGCTACGGGCAATTTCCAAGCAGCTTGGTGAAAATAGATCAACTATTGGAGCAATTGTTAGAAAATGGAAGAGGCACAGTAACAGGTCTTTGAGAGCCAGAATTCTTGCTGTTTCTCAGGTGTTCAAATACTTATGTTCAGCAGTGCAAGACAAATAAATTTTTTTAAAATCATACAATGTGATTTCCTGAATTTTTTTTTTTAAATTCTGTCTCTCAGAGTGGGAATGCACCTACAATGTGAATTTCAGACCCCTCCATAATTTCTAAGTGGGAGAAATTGCAAAATTGCAGGGTGTTCAAATACTTCTGTTCCTCACTGTACATGAAAAAAGCAGAATAAAATTGTTGGCATTATATAAATACTAATAATAATACAGTATGTGCAAAGCATTGTATAAATTGCTGGCGCGATATAAATATTTATAATAATGAAATTTGTATATATTTAATTTATTAACATATCTTTTTGGTACTGTGTTCTGGACTAAAAAGAGGTAAATATATAAGTTTATATACCTTTATGTATTTTTATACTCTATTTTAGTCTTCAAAGTACTGAATATTAATATTTTACATGTATGGAGCAACTCTCACCCAAAATAGCCAGGTTTTCTCTACAGACTACACAGGCAAAGTCAAGGAAGGCTTTGCTAGCCTTAATTTATGTAACTGCTTTATAGCTTCCTAGCAAATGTATACTTATGATTGGCTACATCTGTCCACTTCTAAACCCTCCACTGCCCTCCTAACAGTGCATAAATGCCATGCTCAGGTCCTACAGGATAAGCTTTACAGGGCCACCTTGTAGGCCTGCAATAAAATGTCATGGATGGATGTTTCCTTGATGGCCTGGATTAAGGTTGAAGGTATTTGTTCACCTTTCCAATCCCATGTCTCATCGCAGACTCATCTGTGGCACAATTGTATGGTAAAGAAACTATAAAACCACCCTGACTCTATATGGTGGTCCAGTGAAGGTATTGTCTTTCTTTTACAGTTATTTGACAATGGATCCTTTGAAGCTCTGAGGGAGAAAGCACAGATCAGCAATTAGTTTGCCTTCAAGTATCTTATGTTATGGCATATTTTGTTGGTGCTCTAGAGTTGGCCTTGTCCTCTTCTCCTCTGGAATGTTCCTTATATGTTTTGGGTCAAACCAAATTAGCTGCAACTATTTGGAAATGTTTACACGGCTAGGTGGTCTGTTTTTTGATACATCCCGCCACAAATGGCCCCAGTGTTTACCTAGCCTTGCAGAGGAGTCGTGGGAAACTGAAATGTGGTCTACTAATGTTATTAGTTCTGCGGACAAACAGATGATTTCTGGAACAGTTTACTAAATTATTATAATAAATTAATATTTTTTTTTAATTTTTTTTTTGCAGGGGGGGGGGTCAATTTGGGTGCTTATTTATTATTATTATTATTATTATTATATTTTTAGGGATAGGGGTAACTATTATTCATTTATTATTACATTTTTATTAATTTATTTTATGTATTATTTATTTATGATGATTTTTATTTAGCTATATAAACCAGACTGCAAATGTAGCTCATCCCTAATCTATCATATAAAGAACCATAAAAACCAAATGGGATTTTACTGGTACAGAAAATGGACAACATCACATTGTTGTATAAAACATGTTTATTGAAACATATCTTCCAAAAATTTACCATAAAAACAGTATTTTGGCTAATCAGCTCAATATATCACAGCATTATATAACATCATAGTACTCCAGAGGTCGACGCGTTTCACTAGTATGCTTCCTCAGGACCCCAAAGGAGTTGAAGACAAAGAAGTCCGATAACCTAGCTGGAAGATACACATAAGCATATATTTGCAACACACATTAGTCAAACAATAATAATCATTACATAACATCACCAAAAGAAAACTTTCTCCACAAACTCACATGTCGGCATGAGTGGTAATGTCATGTTATACAATGCTGTGATACATTGGGCTGATTAGCCAAAATACTGTTTTTATGGTAACATTTTAGAAGATTTATTTCAATAAACATGTTTTATAAAACAATGTGATGTCCATTTTCTGTACCAGTCGAGTTCCATTTGGTTTTTATGGTTCTTTGTATTATGATTTTTATTTATTCGTGTATTCATTGTATTTATTTTACATTTATTTATTTATATATTATTACTATTTTTTTTAAGCATTGTATTATTTGAACAGAAAATCATGCGAAACATGCAACAAAACGTGTCTTTGCACGTTTTCACGAGCTTCCATTAATTGCTGCTGATTTAAAAACACTTAAAAAAGCACAAATCTGCCCAATTTGAGTGACAAAAAAAAGCTCTAGAACTTGACTGAACGTCAGGCATTTGGCTTCAGCTACTGAACAGAGAAAAACAAACAGAGGGCGCACCTTATCTTATGCATTATTCTACTCCCAAAATATATAATAAATATAAGGCACATGATGAAGGAACCGCTCTGTCCAATTTGCACTGCGTTTCTGTCTTATGATGAGAATTATGGACCTCCAAAAGGCTGACGCATTTTGAGGACTAGCCTCTTCCTCAGAGCCTAACTCAACTCAGCCTAACTCAAACGCGTCAGCCTTTTGGAGGTCCATAATTCTCATCATAAGATAGAAACGCAGTGGGAATTGGACAGAGCGGTTCCTTCATGATGTGCCTTATATTTACTGACTTACATTACCTTAAAAGTATGTTTATTAAATATTAAAAAAATTTATTCTGCTCACAAAAGTCAACAAATATAAGGCACATCATGAAGGAACCGCTCTGTCCAATTCCCACTGCGTTTCTATCTTATGAGATTTATGGACGTCCAAAAGGCTGACGCGTTTCAGTTAGGCTGAGTTTTAAGTTTGGCTCTGAGGAAGAGGCTAGTCCTCAAAATGCGGTTCCTTCATGATGTGCCTTATATTTATTGACTTTTGTGAGTAGAATACATTTTTTTAATATTTAATAAACATACTTTTTAAGGTAATGCACAAGGCCGGAGCACCCTCTGTTTGTTTTTCTCTATTCAGTACTTTTGGACTCCCTGGTTCGTTGAGGGCAGCAAGTCGTGCATATCCCAATAAATTTGTTATGTGGTCCCAATGATATAGAGTCCATCCCCAAGTGCAGGAGTATCTGGGTTTTTCCACTTCTACACATTTGGCTTCAGGTGACTTGGAGTGGAGACGTGAACCATCTTTATTGAGAATGATTGATTTTTTTCTCCTCGAGCGCTTTGGAGCTTTGAGCTTTGAGTTACAAATTGCTCAGGTGTGAATTGGGTGGAGTTGCCACCTTAATTACCTTAGTTTAATTACCACCTTAATCAGCCACAGAACGCTTGTAATTATTATGTGTTCGGTTTTGACCACTTCCTGTCCGGCCGTTGTATATAAACGTCCAGGCGGTGGCAGTGCAGGGGCGGGTGGCCGTTTATAAACAGCCTCCCCGCCTCCTGCTTGTGCGCGCTCCCTGGGAGTGCGCAGCACCGCAATTGGGTGCCCGCTGTGTCCTCCGGAGACAGTGGAACACCGATCGTTGGACGGGACCTCTGTGTGAGGTCCCGATCATGTGATCACTGATAGGCCAATACTGATACCTCCAAAGTGATGACCTGTAGGTGCTTTTAAAGCATCGCCTATGGAAAATATAGGGTAGTTTGTCATCATTTTGTGTGAGTGCAAACAAACTTAAAGCTTGACATGTTGAGTATAGATTTACCTCCCTCCTCTTTAACCACTTCCCATCCAGCCCATGTATATAAACGGCCCGGACGGGAGCAGTGCAGGGGCGGGTGGACGTTTATAAACATCCTCCCCCGATCCCTGCTTGTGCGAGCTCCCTGGGAGCACGCAGCACCACGATCCAGAGGACAAAGCGGAACATCGATCGCTGTACGGGACCTCTGTGTGACTTCTGACATCATTGCTTACTACGTGTGAAATCTGTGAATGATCACAGAGGTCACATGGTACAAGGCTATTCACAACAGCCTTGTACCATGTGACAAGGTGTGACCAATCACAGCTCACATAGTAGTTCTCAATTGCTGCAAGAATGCAGCTAAAGAGAAGGAGAAATGATTGCGTTTATAGTCTTTATGGATGTAAAAGCAATCAGTGTAAAAAAAAAAAAAAAAATCTTCATCACCCCCCACAAGTAGTACATTGTCACCATGGTGACACTGTACTGCTAGGGTGACAGTATGTAAAAAAGGAAAAAAAATAACAAAATCCAATAATAATATAAAAAAAAATAAAAATGTAAAAAAAAATTTAAAATTATAATTTTTTGGTTATAAAAAAAAAAAAAAAAAAAAAAAAAAAAACTAATTTGGGTTATTTTTTTTTTACTAAAAAGATAACATAATACATTTTGGCCAAGATTTATGATGAAATATTATATATTTGCAAAATTTGATAAGAAAAACACTTTTTTTTCAAAATTTTTGGACATTTTCATTTACATAACAAAAAAAAATTTCCAGTGGTGAATAAATACCACCAAAAATAAAGCTATTTATGTCTCAAAAAATGCTAAAAAATTCATATGGGTACAGTGTTGCATAACCGCGCAATTGTCATTCAAAGTGTGATAGCGCTGAAAGCTGAAAAATTGCCCTGGTCAGGAAGGGGGTAAAAGTGTCCGGAGTGGAAGTGGTTAAAAGGATGAGGTAGCAACCCTAGAATGGGTCCTCAAGGGGAACCTATTCTACCACCTACCTACACTCTCGTTCCTGCCCTGCACAACCTTATGCACAGTTAGGGAGAGAAATTCTGAAAGGAAACAGGCACTGCTGTAATCTTTACTCAGAAAACTGATAACGCGCTGAAAAACCAGGTGTCATGTCCTTATATTAAAACATTGTAAAGTAAATATTTTTTTATAAATAAAATCTCCGCCACCCCCTTTTGCCAATCCTCCACTGGCTTCCGATTGCGCAACGGATCAAATTTAAAAATCCTAACACTGACGTACAAAGCCGTCCCACCATACTGCCCCGAACTACATCACTGACCTAATATCCAAGTCCCGCCCAGCACGCACACTCCGCTCCTCACAAGACCTCCTTCTCTCTAGTTCCCTGGTCTCCTCCTCCCATGCCCGCCTCCAGGACTTCTCCAGGGTGTCACCCATCCTCTGGAAACTCCCTGCCCCAACCCATCAGATTATCACCTACTCTCCTTATCCTTTAGGCGCACCCTGAAAACCATCTCTTCAGGGAAGCCTACCCCACCCCCTGCTAACCTGCCGACCTCCTCCACTCTTCCTACCACTCCATCCCCCACAGCTATCTCCTCCTGTACCACCATCCCCTCCCTCCTAGATTGTGTAAGCTCGAAAGAGCAGGGCCCTCAATCCCGTCATGTTTTGCATTGTATTGGTATTGTTCTGTCACATGTTGTTCTGTCCCCCTTTGTAATGTACAGTGCTGAGCGAACCATTGGCGCTTTATAAATACTGTATAATAATAAATAATAATATAAATGGTATAAAAATGGAAAAAATCTGTATAAAAAGTTTAAGTTAACAAAATCAACTCAAAACCATTACAGATTTACTTTAATGCTATTACAGTGTATATTCCTCTGGCAACAACAGTTGCATCCTGCATGGGTAGGGACGGTGCTTAGTAACTGTCTGCTTTATTACATATCCATATACATTTCAAGGCTTCATTTTCAGCTCTTACTGGAGTGTATCTAAGCAGCCTCATTGGATTTGTGAATTTGTTCAGTTAGTAATGCTTAGGAAAGATCAAGATAAAAAAAAAAATACATTAATTACTTTAAATTCTAGTTTTGTTTTTTTTTTTTTTTTTTTTTTTGTTTTACAAACGAATACTTTATTATGTAGATTAAATGTTTTATCCGGTCCAAGAGCTCTCTTTTAAAACACATTGCCTCCTGTACTTAAAGAATTTGTATCTTTCCCACAGAGATCTTCTAATTGCAGTAACTCTATTTTGTGCAGCTCCGAAAGTGATAACGTCCACAATCTACAATGTAATTTGTACCCTTTTGGGAGACGAATGACTCTGCTGTATCTGCCCCGCACAAAAACACAAACTCATCCTGATTCTAGCTCCACTGCCAAAGGCAAATTGACTCTTAGTTTATAAAGTAGTGACCTTGGGTTAGGCAGCATCAATTAATGGCTTTAATTCTGAACCCTGGCAAATGGAGAGACTTTTTTTCTTTTTCACAGATGTCATTGGTTATCCTGTTAATTGCTAAGTAATCATCAAATCAGACAAACCCTATGAGAAGAAATAGCAGAATAAATTTAAACAGTGTCTGTTATGTAGGACTTAAGGCAAAAAAGAAGCAATTATTTTCAAGTAAATAAATACTTCTGTAACAACAGTTGTTTTTGAGTCTAACAACTAACAAATAAAGATAATGAAGCATTGGAGCTTCAGCCTTTAACATCCCATGGAATCATTTATGACTCTTAGGTTTTATTTTTTTCATGCTTGGCTATGCTAACCAGTTCTTTATCCTCTGACATTAGCCAAAAGTCAAAGGTAGATTCATCAAATTCATTGATCATCATCGTGACATGAGTCAAAGGTAGATCCACCAAAGTCTGTGACCGTCTGACATCAGCCAAAGGGTAGATCCCACCAAAGTCAGGGACCATCTGACATCAGCCAAAGGTAGATCCACCAAAGTCATTGATCATCTAACATGAGTCAAGGTTAGCTCCACAAAGTCTGTGATAATCTGACATCCAGTCAAAGTAGATCCACCAAAAAGTCAGTGATTATCTGACATCAGTCCAAAGGTAAAGATCCACCAAAGTTCAGACATCATCTGACATGAGTCAAAGGTAGATCCACCAAAATCAGTGATTGTCTGACATGAGTCAAAGGTAGCTCCACCAAAGTCAGTGACCGTCTGACATCAGCCAAAGGTAGATCCACCAAAGTCATTGATCATCTTACATGAGTCAAAGGTAGATCCACCAAAGTCATTGATCATCTGACATGAGTCAAAGGTAGATCCACCAAAGTCATTGATCATCTGAAATGAGTCAAAGGTAGCTCCACCAAAGTCAGTGATAGTCTGACAGCAGACAAACGTAGATACACCAAAATCAGTGACTGTCTGACATCAGCCAAAGGTAGATCCACCAAATTCAGTGATTGTCTGACATGAGTCAAAGGTAGCTCCACCAAAGTCAATGACCATTTGACATCAGCCAAAGGTAGATCCACCAAAGTCATTGATCATCTTACATGAGTCAAAGGTAGCTCCACCAAAATCAGTGACCATCTGACATCAGCCAAAGGTAGATCCACCAAAGTCAGTGATTGTCTGACATCAGCCAAAGTTGGATCCACCAAATTCAGTGATCATCTGACATGAGTCAAAGGTAGATCCACCAAATTCAGTGATCTCCCTGACATGAGTCAAAGGTAGATCTGCCAAAGTCAGTGATTGTTAGACATGTGTGTTTCTTTATGATTTGGTTTTTCCTTTTTGGCATTTCAGATGTATACGAATCCCCAAACAGACTTAGTAATGAACGTCAATGAATCCAAAAAAAGGTATAATGAAATTAGCGAATGCACTTGTATTTGGATGCCAGTTGATGTTGTTCAATCAGCTTGTGCCATTTCTTTTATTGGTTTGGACTAGCGCCTAAAAAATATTAAATCCTTTATTTTAGAATCCATCTGAATCAATGATATATCAAATATATGGCAATCTTCTGGAAAAACTGCTAAAATTTTTTAAATCCACCCAGACCAACAATTATACAATATTGAATGCTGAAGATACTAAATGAATTCCAAAAACAAATTGGTTTAAACATAATGAATAAGACAAACAAAATTCTTCAATGAACAAATGCACCAAAAAGGAGACAAAATGAAAATGTGTGGTGTGCACATGTCTAGAGATCGTCTGACATCAGCCAAAGGTAGATCCACCAAAGTCAGTGATCATCTGACATGAGTCAAAGGTAGACCCATCAAAGTCAGTGATCATCTGACAAGTCAAAGGTAGATCACCCACCAAAGTCAGTGAATGTTAGACATTCAGATGTATACGAATCCCTGAACAGACTTAGTAACGAAATGTAACGAATGTCAATGAATCCGAAAAAATGAAATCAACAAATGCATTTATTTCATTCGGATGACATCACATGATGAAAAATAGTAGTTCTGGCACATGGGAAAATAAATAAAAATATTCAAATGTGCTTGATAATTTGGATTTGGATAAAAGAATAGATCCGAATTTTGTTCCATTTGGTAATTTGGACATACATGATCGCACATCACACACAATGTCCTATCAGCTTGTGCCATTTCTATTAGTGGGTTGGACTAGCACCCAAAAACATTGAATCCTTTCAATAAGAATCCATCTGAATCAATAATATATCAAATATATAGAAATATTCAGGAAAAAATACTGGCTAACTTTTTTTTTAAATCCCCTCAGACCAAGAATATATGACATGAATGCTGAAGATACTAAATGAATTCCAAAAGTGAAACGGTTAAACATAACGAATATGACAAAGCTACAAAATTCTTCAATGAATGAATGCATCTGAAAGGAAACAAAATGAACATTTCTGGCATGCACATGTCTAGTGATAGTCTGACATTAGCCAAGGGTAGATCCGCCAAAGTCAGTGATCTTTTACATGAGCCAAATGTAGACCCACCAAAGTCAGTGATTGTTTGACATAAGTCAAAAGTAGATCTGCTTTGATTAGTGATTGTCTAACACGAACCAAAGGTAGATCCACCTTAGTCAGTGATCATTTACATGAGCCATAGGTGGATCCACCAAATTCAATGATTGTCTTATATAAGTCAAAAGACAGATCTGCCAAGTCGGTAATTAAGTAATTATACTATCTGGGAACTGGGGGTGGAGTAGTTTTAAACCACTTCAAGTCCGGACACACTTTCACCCCCTTCCTGTCCAGGCCAATTTTCAGCTTTCAGCGCTATCACACTTTTGAATGACAATTATGCGGTCATGCAACACTGTACCCATATGAATTTTTTTTTGCATTTTTTGAGACTGATAAAACTTTATTTTGGTGGTATTTATTCACCACTGGGATTTTATTTTTGTTTGCTATATAAATGAAAAAGTCCAAAAATTTAGAAAAAAAGTGTTTTTCTTATAAAATTTTGCAAATAAATAATCTTTCTTCATAAATCTTGGCAAAAAATGTATTCATCTATTTTTTTTAGTAAAAAGAAATAACCCAAATAAGTTTAGAACCAAAAATTTATAATTTTTTCACATTTTTACATTTTTATTTTATTTTTTAATATTATTATTTATTTATTTTCTTAACATACTCTTACCCTAGCAGTACAGTGTCACCATAGTGACACTGTACTACTTGTGGGGTTGATCAAGATTTTTTTTTCCATTTTTTTACGCTGATTGCTTTTCCACCCATAAAGGCTGTAAAAGCAATAATTTCTCCTCTCTGGCTGCATTCCTGCAGCCACTGAGAAATACTGTGCGAGCTGTGTGATTGGTCACAGCTTGTCACATGGTACAAGACTGTTGTGAAATAGCCTTGTACATGTGACCTCTGTGATCATTCACAGATATTTCAGACGTAGTAAGCAATGATGTCAGAAAGTGACATGTTGCTTACTACTTTGCATGTGATCACTGATTGGCCAATCAGTGATTACATGATCGGGACCTCGTACAGAGGTCCCATCCAACGATCGGTGTTCCACTGTCCGTACGTGAGGACACAGCGGGCACTGGATTGCGATTGCTGCGTGCTACAGATTTCGCAAGTAGTTATACAATGATGTGAGGAAGTGACATCTTGTTTACTACTGTTCATGTGATCACTAACTGGCCAATCAGTGATCACATGAATCGGGACCTCACACAGAGGTCCCATACAGCGATTTGTGTCCTTCGGGACACAAGTGGGCACCTATCACGGTGCCTCACGCTCCCAGGGAGCGTGCACAGGCAATGAATGCAGGGGGATGTTTGGAAACATCCACCCGCATCAGCAGCGCTCCCGTCTGGCCGTTTTATCAGCATGGGCCAGATGGGAAGAGGTTAAATGTAAGTGCTGGGATTTCTGAGATGCTTATTTAAAAGTTTCTGCCACTCTTACTGGTTCCTCTGGCATCAGCTACAGCAGTAGAGAAGCCCCCACCGACGAGCAGGATAGATATACATGCAGGTCACCCTGGAGGATGATGGTGGAGATGGGTTTTGCCCCACTAGGAGGTGAATGAAATTTTAGGTCCAGTAGTGAATTTAGAGGTCGGGTAACAAATAGTTGCAAGTTGGAATCAAGCAGAAGTGTAGTCGAGTAACAAGCCAAAGGTCAGTAACAAGTAGTTGCAAGTTGGGATCAAGCAGAAGTTATAGTCAAGGAACAAGCCAAGGGTCGGTAGCAAGTAGTTACAGGTTGGAATCAAGCAGAAGCGTAGTCGAGGAAGAAGCCAAGGGTCAGTACACATAGTTACAGGTTGGATAATCAAGCAGAAGCGTAGTCGAGGAAGAAGCCAAGGGTCGTAGTAACAAGTAGTTACAGTTGGAATCAAGCAGAAGCGTAGTCGAGGAAGAAGCCAAGGGTCGGGTAACAAGTAGTTACAGGTTGGAATCAAGCAAAAGCGTAGTCGAGGAACAAGCCAAGGGTCGGTAACAAGTAGTTACAGGTTGGAATCAAGCAGAAGCGTAGTCGAGGAACAAGCCAAGGGTCGGTAACAAGTAGTTTACAGGCAGGGGCGGACTGACAACTCATCATGGGGCCCCCCCCCGGGCAATAGGGGATCATGGGGCCCCTGTGTCCTTGCCCAACTCAAAAAAAGCCTATGAAAAAGGTACCAGGGGGCATCTCATGGGGCCCCCTACTGACCCCGGGCCCCCGGGCAGTGACCCTCGATGTTTCCAAATGGTCAGTCCTGCCCCTGGTTACAGGTTGGAATCAAGCAGAAGTATAGTCAAGGAACAAGCCAAGGGTCGTAAACGAGTGGTATAGAAAAGATACAGATGGCAGCAGTAGTGACCATTGTGAGACATTGGCTGGAGTGGGAGCACAATAATCTGGCAACAGGATGCGCAAAAGGCATGGCTTTGGTCTTTAACAGGAAGTTAATGAGAGGAGCAACGGGTTCAAGGTTTGAAGACAAACAAGGTTCAAGGCAGGATCATTCAAGGAATTGTCCAGGGAGCTGTCCAGCATTCCAGTAGCTGTCCAGCATTCCAGGTGGCTCAGCAAGAAGAGACATGACCAAAACGCAGCAGATTTTGCCACATTTTCAGACCTGGGTCCTGACAGATGTCTCCGGAACAAGTAAGTGAGAGGAAAATCTCTCCAAAAGCAACACAGATGGAACTGAAAATAGATTTTTAAGTTTAGTAAGGGAATGCTAGAACTCTTGTCAGATGTCAGATTGTTTTTTATATATAATTACCACAATTTTTATTGAATTTATAGGCAGTACAAAAGAAGAACAATAGGCAGCATATACATTACATACTACAATAATGAAAGGGATCATACAGGTTAATATAGACCGTCCTGTGATATTTTAATTGTTTTCCTGTTGCAGATTTTACCTTACTTTCTTTCTTTATGGGATGTATCCAGAACAGAAAGAGAGGGGACATTTCTAGGAGTTAGTCTAACAGAGCCTCAAGTAGCAGTAATACCTGAGTGGTTTGAGTATAGATACATTTTAATTTAGCTGCAGTGTGGTAAAAAAAAAAAGAACTAAAAAAAAAATGTAAAATAAAAAAAAAACATTACCAGCAACATACCGCTTGTGTACAATTATTACAGTAATGAAGAAAATTAAGATTTCACAACTAATAGTATGTCCATGGCAACAATGCTATAGATGTGAACCTTTTCAACACTGCATCTAATTGTGTTCATGGATTTACAATAATACTGTACAATCAGATATGCAGTCCCTCTAGGTGTTGGAAAATACATTGTTTTTGTTGTTGTTGTGGGTTATTTTTTGCCTTTTCACAGTTTATTAAATGTAGCTATTTACATCCAGCGGAGTTTGGGACTTTTTGGCATGAAGGTCTTGTATTGTGTTCAAATAGAGACATTCATTGGCAGCACTATCCTGTTATCTGTTGGAGAGCCACTTGTATTGACAGATGAGCCTTTAAACTCCTGTGGTGGCTGGATAATAGATAGATACGTGTATCTGTACTTTTATAATAAAGAAGAGAAATAAACGATTCATTTTCAAATAGGATGCATACAAATCTGTCAAATTTAATAAAGAATAATATATTAAACGTAGGCATCACTAAGTGACATTATTGGTAATTTTGGATAACAAATTGTTTTTTTCATGACCATGTCTTGTAAATTACAGCCTATCTCGATGATCATTTTATTTTTATTTTCAGTGTTTGACTTCTCTGTTATACACAACAGCACACATCTATTGAAAATAGAGTGTAACAGTAACAATAATTACAGTTAAAATGTATATACAGTTATATATATATATTTTTGTTATGTTATGTGCATGCAGTCTCAGTAATTCAAATGTAAATGTTATTCTTGAGGGTATTTATTACCTCTCAAAGACATCACAGTATTCTGAGTGACGATGGCTTCATCTTCCATGTTCTAGGAGGACACAGTGCTTTTACAATGGTAGAAAGATTGAACCTCATAGAAAAATTAACTTCAGCAGTCAGGGTAGCTTGGTTTTAAAAGTCATAATTCTTTTATGTTTATTGGAAGAATTTAAATTTAATAAAATGATTGAAAAAAAAAAGTGTTAATCATCTTTCCTTTCCTTTCCCTCCCTTTCCTTTCCCTTCCTTTCCCCTTCCCTTTCCCTTCCTTTCCTTTTCTTCTTTTCCTTTTCCCTTTCCTTTCCTTTCCCTTTCCTTTCCTTTCCTTTCCCCTTCCCTTTTCCTTTTCCTTTCCTTTCCTTTTCCATTCCTTTCCTTTCCCTTCCTTTCCCTTTTTATTCTCCTTTCCCTTTCTTTCTTTCTTTCTTTTTCTTCTTCTTTCTTTCTTTTCTTTCTTTCTTTTCTTTCTTCTTTCTTTTCTCTTTCTTTCTTTCTTTCTTTCTTTCTTTCTTTCTTTCTTTCTTTTTTCTTTCTTTTTCTTTCTTTCTTTCCTTTCCTTTCCTTTCTTCCTTTTTTCTTCTGTCCTTCCTTTCCTTTCTTCCTTCTTTCATTTCCTTTTCATTCCCATTCCCTTTCCTTTTTTTCCTTTCTTTTCCTTTCCTTTCCTTTCCTTTCCCCTTCCCTTTCCCTTTTTCCCCCTTTCCTTTCCTTCATTTTTTCTTTTTTTTTTTCTTTCCTTTCCTTTCTTTCCCTTCCTTTTTTCTTCTGTCTTTCCTTTCTTCCTTTTTTTCCTTTCCTTTCCTTTCCTTTCTCATTCCACTCTCCCTTTCCTTTTTTTCCTTTCCTTTTCTTTCTCCTTCCCTTTTCCCCTTTCCTTTTTTTTTCCTTTTTTCCTTTTCCTTTCCTTTTCCCTTTTTCCTCTGCCTCTTCCTCTCCTCCCCTCTTCATTTTTCCTTTTCTTACCTTTCCGTTCCTTCCTTCCCTCCTATTTCTTTTCTTTTTTGTCTGCAGGATATACAAGCATACAGCAAGTTGCCAACATGTCCTTTCATGCAAGCATTTTGCAGAGAGCTATTTATTTGAATTACAATCTGCTAGCCTAATTTATTTGACAGTAAATGGTCATTGTGCCTTTCTATATGAAAAAGAACAGACCCGGGAGCTTTTAATTCACTTTGTTTATTAGTACATAGAGCAGCTGTTTCAAAATGTCTCTGGATAGAAAAAAAGTCAGATAAACTCCAAGCAAGGAAATGCTGTTCCTCTGTTTCTTCCTTGTAATGGACTTAACAACCAGTCCCATTCATTTTCACGTGTCGTTACAGCATGTAGACGACATTCAGAAATCTGAGCCAGGCAATAATGCAAATAGCACGCTGCACATACTACTCTAGAGTAACATGCCATTCCTCATCTGCTAAATTACATTTCATTCAAGGGAAAATTACCATTGAAGGACAGGAAATGATTAGTTGTGTTCTAGACCAGAAGCCTTAGAATTCTTGAGAACAGTTAAGCTCAGATGTTCCAAAAGAACTCCTTGACATTTTCTGTATGATGTCATAGAGATCAAAATAAATGTCCAATTTCTGGATGTTTTATGAGACAATCCATTTAGGAATGTAAAACCGGGTAGAATAACCTGTTAGCTATGAAATAGTTAGTTGTGCTCTTTATTTGTATCTAATTATTTAAATATTTAAACCCAAGGATAAAAAATGTAATACACTGCATGATAGCATTCCTTAACCTCCCTAGCGGTCTGATTATGTCCATATTTCTGTGCTCAAAGCAGTAAATTTTTTTGCATTGAAATATGTATTTTTTTATTGTAGGCCTGTCATTTTTAGGAATAACTCACTGAAATCTGTCCGAACAAGAGTCTAGTAAACATCCCGGGTATGATTAAAATTTGAAACACAAAATCATAAATTATAATTTAATAAATAATCATAAAAAATAATAATATATTAATAAAATAATATTATAAATAATATAATAATAAAATAAATTAAATTAATTCAATAATATAATCAAACCAAAAACACTGAAATGTGAAATAGAGCGCCAAGTTCGCACATCACTGAGCAAAGTTGCAAAATCGTTTTCAGTGTCTGATGATGAATTTCCCCCACGAATCATTATCACTCAATTCTGCAAGTGGTTCTGATTTACTATCGCTGTTCTCTAGCCGGTCTAAAAACGCTTTTGAACTAAAGGGACGCTTTTTGGACGACATGGACGTTTCTCAGTTTCCAGGCAGAAAGAACAGTAAAAATGCAGGCAGGGCGCCGGACAAAGCACTCGGGACAAAATGTATGTGAAATGGTTTGATACAGGAATGTTATACTATGTGATTTTAGTGAATTTAGTGAATGTCACTTTTTGTCATTTTACAAATTTCCCGCTGTTCTGTCCCCCCCTATGTCCCGACGTCGCAGGGGAAGACCCAGAAGACAGATGCCGGCATCAGCTGGAGGACATTACAGGGGACACTGCAGGG